TTTCTCCTCTCTGTTTTGGTACTGGATTTCTCAGCATGTGCTATTGTTTTCTTCTGGCCTGGGATAAAATGTGACAGGCTAGAAGTAGCCTAACCACTAACTGCAAAAAGAAATGTGGGTCTTCATTGAATGACAATGTGAGACAACACTGTTGTTTATTTTATTTTATTTTATTTTTATTTATTTATTTATTTATTTGATTTGATTTGATTTGATTTGATTTGATTTGATTTGATTTGATTTGATTTGATTTGATTTTTACCCCGCCCCTCTAGATCATGTCTACTCAGGGCGACTGAGACTAAAGCATGTTGGTTTAGTAACCCAGATGTTTTGAAGTACATTTTCCAGAATCCTTTACTGGCTATACTGGCCTGCATGTCTAGGAACTGAACTCCCAAATCTCAGGGGAACCAAATGTTTCCCGCTCCTGCTTTACAGAGAGAAAGAGGACTCATTTCTTGTCATTTTGCAACCAACTGTCAAGGGAAAGATATTTGTATAGAATGAAGCAATCAAGGCTGGCACAAGCTGAAGTGTCACTCAACTACTGGCATAAAGCAATAAATATGTGAGGGAGGTAGATGCTTTTTTCTCTCTGCTGTTTTGTTGAATTGCCATTTGAATTATGGCTGATTCTGAGGGGTTCCTCAAGGCTAAAGCATGAAAAATAATGTGTACTATTCCTGGAGACAGTGAGTTGGTGAAACACAGATAGGTTACCTAATCATAGAATCATAGAATTATGAAGTTAGAAGGGGCATATAAAGCCATCAAGTCCAATGCTCTGCTCAGTGCAGGAATACAAATCAATGGATATTTGCCAGGTGGTTGTCTAAGTTTATCTTGAATGTCTCCATTTTGGAGCACTTACCACCTCTCAAGGTAATTGGTTCCATTGCTATTTTGCTCTAACAGAACGTTTTTCCTGAACAGAAATCTTGCTTCCTGTAACTTGAGCTCATTGTTGTGTGTCCTGCACTCAGGGATGATTGAGAATAGATCTTGCCCCTCCTCTGTATGACAGCCTTCCAAGTGTCTGAAAAATGCTATCATTTCTCCCCTTAGCCTTTTCTCATGGCTAAACATCCCCAACTCTTCCAGTCTTTCCTCATAAGGCTTGCTTTCCAGCGCCCTGATCATCCTTGTTGCCCTTTTCTGAACTTGTTCCAATTTCTTGAAGTGCAGTGTCCAGAATTGGACACAGCACTCAAGATGAGGCCTAGCTGGTGCTGAATAGAGGGGAAAGAGTACCTCACAGGATTTGGAGACTATACTTCTACTAATGCAGCCTAAAATAATATTAGTCTTTTTTGTAGCCATATCACACTGCTGGCTCATATTCAGCTTGTGATCTACAACACCTCAAAGATCCTTTTCACTTACAATATTGCTGAGCCAGGTATCCCCCATCTTGTAACTGTGTGTTTAGTTTCTTTTTTTCTAGGTGCAGCATTCTTTTTTCTAGGTGCACTTATCTCTGTTAAATTTCATGCTGTTGTTTTCAGCCCAGTAATCAAGCCTATCGTGATCATTTTGAATATTGTTTCTGTCTTCCAGGGTATTAGCTATTCCTCCAATTTTGTGTCATCCTCAAATTTTATTAGCATTCTCTATATCCAGGTCATTGATAAAGATATTGAATAGCACTGGGTCCAGGACTGAACCCTGGGGTACCCCACTTGTTACCTCCTCCCAATTGGAGAAGGAGCCATTAATCATTACCCTCTGAGTATGATCTTGTAACAAACTGTGTATCTACCTGATAGTTTTTTTATCCAGCCCATACCTAGTTAACTTGCTAATCAAGTTAACTAGGTATGGGCCGCCCCGAGTAGACATGGTCTAGAGGGGCGGGGTAAAAATCAAATAAATAAATAAATTAAATAAATCAGACCATCATAGGGCACTTTATCAAAAGCTTTGCTGAAGTCAAGATATACTATGTCTACAGCATTCCCTCTGTCTATCAGGGAAGTTACCCAATCAAAATATGAGATCAGATTAGTCTGGCAGGATTTGTTCTTAATAAATATGTGTTGACTTCTAGTTATTACTGCTTTGTTTTCTAAGTGCTTCAATAGTGACCACTTTATAATCTATTCCAGAATATTCCCTGGGATTGATGCCATGCTGACTGGTCTGTAGTTCCCAGGTTTCTCCTTTTTGCCCTTTTTGTCAATAGGGACAACATTAGCCCTCCTAAGAGGGCAATCAGATGGCTGGAAAGGCACATGCTTGATTACACCAGAAAGGAGCATTTTAAATAGAGTAATGTCCATTAAAATGCTCCTTCCATTTGATAAGGAATCACTCCAGCCTGGCTCCCCAAAGTAGTAGACCTACAGCTGGACCAAAAAGGGTCATCTTGTGTGCAGACTGGGGTTGAGCTGGACCACAATTGCCCATACGTCTAGCTGGGAAATAGATTGCATTGGAGCACTTCACAAGTGGCCCAGATTGTGATCTCTTTCCCTATGTGATCACTTCCTAAGTAGCAAAATTCTTACTTTACTCATCTGCAAGCACTACTCACCAATCAAAGTCTGCCTCTGTGCAAACACATGGTTCAGATTCCATTGCACCAGCATACTTGCCCTGCATGCATTTCTTTTCTGACTTCCGCTTCTTGTAGATGCGTTTTGCTCCCATGATGCATGCTTCTCCCTGAGTGGAAAGGGGAAAAAACTCTGTATACTAGTAACAGCAAGGTTTATCCTATCACATTTATGATAGCCTAAAATACATACATGGGCTACGGTTGTTGATTTAGGAAGGGGCAGGAAGACAGGACATTCATTTCCCGCTGATTTTATGATCTAGGGCAGCCATTGCCAACCTTTTTTTTTTTTGGCCACAGCCATGAATATAATATGAAAGAAATACAGTAGGACCCCCACATCTGCAGAATGTCTATCCACAGTTTCACTTATCCATGTTGTGACAATATTAAAAATCTTAAAAGAAAAAAGTGAGAAATTGGTATTTCCATTATGTAATTACCAGAACTGGCTGCTAGATGGAACCAGAGACGATAGGGTTTGCTATTATCTGTGATATTTGGCTTCCGGGGGTGGGGGTTGGAACCAATCTCCTGCAAATACAGGAGTCCTACTGTACAGGGCAAATCAGGACTGAATAAGTTGCGTAATGAACCTTATAAGGTGGTGTCTAAAGGATTCTTTCCAGTCTGTGGCCCCATTGAAATGTCTCTCATTCCCCCCTCAGGGGGCCTTTTGGCCCCAGTTCAGAATGGCTGGGTAAGAAAATAGCTATGGTAGGTGCCTCTGCACTTCTCCCCTAAAGGCAAAGGCAAATTCATTGCATTACAAACAACCAGGAATTTGTTTTCTTTTGTATCATGAAGCTTCAAATTCCACTTTCCATTGTAAGTGCTCAGTGGGTACAACTGGAATTGGCATATACATATCAGAGCAATATAGAATATCTGGAACTCCAGTTTTACAAAAAAGTCTAAGTTTGACAAATGTGTCCCTTGTCTTGATAACAGCATCATCCTCCAAATGTGTCCCTTGTCTTGATAACAGCATCATCTTCCAAAAGGTGGATGAAATGGCAACAGGGATCAACTTCCTGGATCTTGCCCTCAGCAACAGGGAAGAAATGATCAATGAGGTAGAAATGGTGGGAATTTGCTCAGAATTGCCCATCGGCCCAAAGGAATTCATTATAGATAAAAGAAAAGAAAAACTGGTTATCCGATCTCAGCCAATATATCCTTAAACCTCTTAAAATCAGTTTTCTTCAGGAGCAGTGTGCTACCCACAACTTTTCTTTTCTTTTTTCTCTATAACTGCATCTAAGGATACTGACAACTTGCAAATGTAAACACTGAACTTTTATCTATAGCCTTTGAGAATTCTTGGGGAACAGGTGAGGTCCCTGAAGACTGAAGGCAAGCAAATATTCTATTCTGCAAAAAGGGGAAAAAAGAGGTTCTGGGAAACTGCTGACTGGTCAGCTTGATAATGCCAGAAAAAGTTAGAGATTATTTTTAAAGGGTCCATCTATGATTATTTAGAAAAGCATGAGATGCTTACAAAGAGTCAGCATTGTTTTTGGAAACCATGTCAGTCTAATCTTAGCTTATCTCTGTAATTTTCTCATAGCAAAGCCAGTAAAATGTTGGCTAGAAATGCAGATTTGTAGCTAGTTGACAGCCTGTAGGCAAAAAAAAAAAAAGTTCAGCAGTGATTTTTCATCATCCTGGACAGACGTCTCACACGTATCTGTCTTGGACCCTGGGTCCTGAATTCTTCACCATCTTTATGAATTGAATGAAGATGTAGAGTAGATGGTTTTCAAATTTTTTCTGGATGACACTAAACTGGAAGGGTTAGCTAATACTTCAGAAGCCAGAATTAGAGTTCAAGATAACCTGATGAGAATGGAAGACGAGACAAAAATGTTTCAACAGGGAAAAAAAAGTGAATTTCTGTATTTAGCCAGAAATCAGATGTATAAATATAGGATGGATGACAGTTGGCTCAGGAGTAAAATGTGTGAAAAGAATCCAAGGGTCTTAATAAGCCATGAGCAAAAATATCAGTCAACCTGGTGATGAAGTAGGAAAAAAATGCTCATATGAAATGTCCATATGAAATAATGTACCAACACAACTATATTCCACTTTGGTCACACCTCATTTGAAGTATTGGCCTCACTTCTGGGTACCACAGTTTAAGAAAGATGTTGACAAGCTGAAACATGTTCAGAGAACAAAAACCAAAATAGGAGAGGATCTAGAAATCAAGTCCTATGACAAACGGTTCAGGGAGCTGAGCATGTTTAACATAAAGGAGGTAAAAATAGTGATACTGATCTCCAAATAGTCGATGAATACTCAAATGGAAGATCTAATGAGCTTGTTTTTTGTAGTTGCAGAAGATAGGATCTAAAATAATGGATTTAAGTGCTAAGAAAGGACATTTTGACTAAACGTTAGGAAAAACCTCTTGACAGTAAGCGCTGTGCACCTAATTAAAATGGTGGTGAACTGGCCTTCACTGGAGATTCTCAATCAAAGATTGCATGACCATCTATCAAGGATGCTTTAGCACTAAATTCTGAGTTTCAAAATGGGATTGGATTCAATATCCTTTGAATTCCTTGCAGCTTTATGATTTTACGATTCTCTACATGAAGATGAACAGAACTTCAAGAATTGGATCCTGGATCTGCCTTTTGTTGGTGGAAATGCTTCAGTCACAGAAGGCACCTATGTGCGATTTTTAGGGATTTCCCCACCGTGCTACAGATTGCTGAATTTAGCAGGATTCTTTGACCTTTTGCATATAATTTTCAGAGAGGTGGAATAGTTAGTGTGGACAGAAAAGGAGAGGGATACTCTGTTCTATTCCATGGACCTAAGTCAGCAACATATTTTACTAAGAGTTGTATTCAAATCCAGTTCTGAAATATATACCTGACTATGAAGTTGCCATGGCCGATAGTCATCCTCAGCGCACCGTCTATCAAAAATGGATTTGTAGTCTATTTTCACCAGCTGCCACTCAGAGCGATGGCTGAAATGTCCAAAAACCCTGCACAAAACAATCCAAGAGAGTGTATGATGTGCCAGTAGCTTCTACGGTATTCATATATTTATGGGTTTTGCCACCAAACCCAATGCTTAGATTATTTCTTTGTTTCATAACACACCTTTCTCCCAAGACAGGGGATCCAAGGTACTGACCAAGGTTTATAAAAATATATATGTTTATAAAAGATACAGGTAAGAACACATTTGCTAGTATCCTGTTGTGTACTTCTACCAGTAGATTTGGGACAACATCTCCAGTGATTGCAGGCTGCAGCTAATGAAAGAGTTCCTGCTTCAATTTGAGATGCCATTTGACTCATTTACAATGAGACATTGCCACGTGCAGCCTAAAATTGAAGCAGGGACCCTTTCTTTAGCTGCAACCTGCCACTGCCAGTGATATCTCTCTGTCTATGCTGGTGGAGCTATGCAACAGGAGTTTGGCCACTTTTAATCAGTTAATTAACTAATTAAATATCACCCCTAAAGTCACTGATTTAAAACTATATGAGATAATTACTAGCATATAGAAGGTCAAAATTAAATATCACATGGCATCTCCTACTAAAAGCTCTTTTCTCAGCTGCCAGTCAATTTCCCAAAGGCTGCCAAAATAGAAAGGTTATTGTGTGTCAGAAGGAAGGGCCAGTCTAGCCTCCCTTGATAAGAATACATCTGTTTGCCAATATTTAAACATATGCTACACAGCGTTGTGGAGTTCATCATTCACTATGCATGTGATGTAAAAACACTGCTTTCACGTTACATATAATTTCTATTAAAAATTAACATTTTAAGTTAAAAGTGCAATAGAGTTTGTGTCCAAAATAATTTCCCCAGTTTCCTCATCCCATTGATTCAGTATAGGTCAAACAGTGGACTGATTCATAAATCATGTGACAAATTCTAATAGCAATATTAGAGTTCCTCTGAAATAAAGCAAATCAAATGCTTCTAACTAGACTGTCTACCAGGTAGTGATTTGACAATTAGTCTAGAATTTTTTTGGATTGACAGTGAAATCCTCACTTGTCCTGGCTCATTTACATTGGCTGCTGGTATGCTCCTGAGCCAAATTCAAGGTGCTAATGTTAACTTATAAAGCCCTGTATGATTTAGGCCCTTGCTACCTGACAGGTTGCCTCTCTCTCAGATCAACCCCCCCATTCCACCCCGTAAACCTTGATGTTGCAAGTGGCCACTCCAAGAGAGGCACAGAAAGGATCAATCAGGAACTGAGCCTTCTCGGTAGTAGCCTCTTCGCTGTGGAACTCACTCTTCCTGGAAGTGCATCAGGTTCCCACTCTCCTTAGCTTTAGGAAGCAAATTCAAACATGGCTTTTCACCCAGGCCTTTGAAAGCCTTACTGCTTATCAGTTAAATAGTTGCTGCTTCTTCCACCATCTTGGGAATTATATGATGTTTGATAGATGATGGGGTTTTGAGGTGAGGTTTTGTTTTCTCCCTTTAATTTTTTAAATTTCTGGGGTTTTTTAGATCTTTGTTTAGTTTCTCGTAGCTACCCAGAGTAGTGGCTTGCCACTAGATAAACAGGGTATACATTAACGAACTAACAAACTAACGAACTAACGAACTAACGAACTAACGAACTAACGAACTAACGAACTAACGAACTAACTAACTAACTAACTAACTAACTAACTAACTAACTAACTAACTAACTAAGTGTTGACTGTAGGGAGTCAGGAATAAGCAGAAGCTTCAGTGTTGGCAGCACATCCTTCTGTTCAGACATCTACCCACAGAGCATTCTACTGGCAGAAATGCTGTACTGGAGAAGTGCAAGAGGAGGGTCATACAGAAAGGAACCAGTTGAAGCGTAATCCAAGTTAGGCCCCCATCAAACCTCCTGTAGTTCGCAAATATAGTCACTATGGAGGTATGAAAGTAGGCTGTGGTGAGGGTGCTCCTAAATAATGATGAACATCCCTAGTCTGTGATGCGTTTACTTTCAGCACACCTACAGATGACCTAGTGTCACTCAGCTGGGCTACAGCCATGCTAGCTAGTTCAGTTTCTGTTCTGAAACAGTTAGTTTAAATGTATGAAGATGTGTGTACATCCAAATTGCAAGGTATGCATTTTAAATGAAATTTAAGAAATATATGAGATATAATAAACCCTAGCCTTAGAAGAACTGGCCACATAAAATTCTTTTCAAAACCTTTACCATTGCAGCAGTTGGATTCAAAAAGTAAGCAAGCAAGCATTTATAATCCCACTAGTTACAATTTGTTAAGAAAAACAATGGTCTTTGTAGTTTAATCTACTGATTAGATATTTTAAAGCCAAATGCTTGCTTAGAATTGAAGTGTGCTTCAACTGATATGAAAGAAACGTAATATGGCAATTAATTATCATCATCATCATCTTGGAACTACATGCAGAACATAATTTGACCACATCAGATTGAACAAATTTAAAGATCCAAGGATCAAAGTATTAGATCCACATCAACGATCAGTTTAACTAGTATAAGCTTTCTGAATAGGAATATTACATATTAAAATAACAAATATTAAATGAATTAATATTAAGCTATTTAATCAGTTCAATGACACAGGGAGATCACATTCAAAGCAGCAGCAAATATTGTTTCTTCTGTATACTAAAGTTTCAAATGAGATACCATGTGATTATTTTATATACTTAGTGATGTAACTACGATCTGGTTAACATTTTCAGCTTACGTCATTATCAATGTCTCTTCCCCAGGCTCCCCCAAGACACCATCAACGAAAAGTGGGATGGACGTGAAGCTGTACTTGCTCCAGGATCTTCCTTCATCAAAACTTAACCTGGTAAAGAAAATTAAAAATGAAGGAACATTTTCTGAAAACGTTATTATATTCCTTATATGTGAGAGAAACAGGAAGCTATGATGACAAAAACAGAGTTTGTATTTAAGAACTGTGAATCATGTTAACCTGGTTGGCACCTCACAATCATCAAGAACCCGGAAAGGTATGTAAGCCCCTTAAACTATATCACAACCAACAGTGGAGAGAAATCAATGCAAGATTTCTCCAAGATCAACATTGCTTCCTATGTGTCAGCCTGGGCTGAAAACTCAGCACTGGGGTAGGATCCTGATACAAATTCCCACACCCTTAATACACACATATTTGCAACACGGATAGTATAAGGAATTTGCTTCAGACTTTTTTTTCCTGTGTGAATCACAGGTATTGGGGGGAGGGGCTATTCTGAACTAAAAGAAATATGGTAACTGTGTGTCAAATCATGCGGCTAACATAAATTTCATGATTCCTGCTGTAAATTATTATTAATTCTTTCAGAGCTTCAAATGTTAGGCAGAGTAAAACAGTGCAACTCCTTCAGACTAACTCATACAACAATAGGGACACTAAAGACTTTTTTTCTCTTGCTGCTCTTATGTGTGAAACTGCATTCTTTGCTTTAGTGTGATCAAGACAAAAAGCATGTAAGTTTCTTAATTGGCATATCCTGGCACTTAGTTAAAATATTTAGTCACGGCCCAACTGCCAGTGGCGTGTAATATATAATGAAGGACTCTATGACTAATGAGATCAGAGAAGTCACAGTAATTACCAGAGATGTCTGATAGGCAGAGATGTATGTTTCATGGCAACCAAAACCCCACCTTGATCCAGATAAAGAACACTGTGTTCTTCCTCAAAGATCTGAAGAAAAAAGAAACAAAATTTAACTCTTCTCAGTGTTGGAAGCAGTTCTAAAACAAGGCGGTAATACATTCCTTTTATGAGAGCCCTTTTAACTTGGGATAGAAGAATATGGCTACCTGGTCATATTGGGCTTTTAATGTAATATTTTTCATCTCCAGCTCTGTCCAAAATGTGTTCCACTGTCCTACGAGGCAAGCGTATCCACAGAGATCACAATGACCAAGGTATTGTTCACAACTGGCCCAACAGATGTTCCGGGGTTCCAAGCCCTGCGTTCTCTGGCAGGTGCCCACTCAAGAGGCAGCACCTGGAAAAGGCAAAGCAGGGAAGCCATGGCGCTGCCTTTGAGTGGGCACCTGCCAGAGGAGATGGGGCGCAGAAGTGCAGAACACCTGTCAGGCCAATGGCCGAAACGGCTTGAGATAAATTCCCCACTGTGTCTCCTTGAAATGGGCTGGACTTAATGATCCAAGGAGTCCCTTCCACCTTTGCAGTTCAAAGGTTATAGTAGAAAATTATAAATGACTAACAGTATTGCAAGTGAGCACCAAAGTAGTTTAACGAAAGACCCAGAGTACAGGAAGGCATGACTTGAGAAATTGTTACATAGATAGTGCCCCAGTTAGTAAACCATTGGCTTTTTCATGGCAGAAATGGGAGCAGAGCAATCTCAAGATGGACATACAGTCTGTCTAAGAAAAGTTTAATGTCAGGTTAATACTGCAGCTGAATTTCAGAATCGTAACATGTGCTGACTGATTTGTTGAAACAGAAGCTTAAGGCAACAACAGCCTGGTTGTTAAGGTACGTGAAAACCACCAAAAAAAGACAGTGAGAATTGTATATTTTGAATGAACCAGAAACAGTTCTACCACAGTTTTTTCCAAGCAGGAGAGAAGTTGGAAGCCACTGTACCATAATATTCCTGTCAGCCTAGATGTCTTGTGAAGCAGGGTTGTATACTCATCTCCCATCTTCAGTTTACTCATCTTTTTGGAGATTTTTTAAAAATACCTTTTGGCTGAAATCTGACAGAAATCCAGTTCAATCAATCAAATGTATGGAGGAGTTTACTCACCAGTTTTCCTACTGATTCAATGGGCTTCCTCTAGTTACAATGTACTACTAGAGTATAGCCTTTAACTCTGTACTGTTTGCCACATAAAGGAAGGAAGGAAGGAGGAATAACACACTAATGTTTACAATGTTTATGTGAATATTATGAGATTACAGCCCATCTTTCTCCTGCCCAATGAATTTTGATTATTGGGAATCACAAATAGAATTGTATGTGTTTTTAATTAGTAACCATAAAGGCATTAAAATTTATATTCAGTGTCAAGCATACAAGCAATGAACCTCAGCATTTTATGTGTAAATGAGAAAGTAACTATCATTTCAGTGCTTACTCTTTGCTTTGTTAATTCCACTTAAGTGTGTACTTGATTCCACTTTATGAGGATAGTTATTGCATATTAATTAAATGCCAACTACTTACTAAAAATATACTTACTGATGTGCAACAACCATGCATTGTGTTGTTCATCTTATTACCCAATTGTCAAAGCTCATTAAATGCTTGTACTCAGTATAATGGATATGCAATTAACTTAACGGGCATGGAAACAAAGAAGGGTGAGAAGAAAACATTTGTTTGGGAATAATCATTTCTAGGTTGTTGTATTTTGTTTTGTTTTGTTTTTGTAAATGAACTGAAATTTGATTTCTTCAAGTGCTGTTTTCCCAAGAAATCAGTAATTTAAAGTTAATAATCACATATTACAGAATATACATAATTCTGAAACCTCTGTCAACTTCTAGATTACAATACTTATTGACATTTTTCGGTTTCTTTTTGGGATTGTATCAGATTTGACTTTTCTTCTCTGTTTTTTTGTGTTGTTTCAACGCAAACCAAAGAAACGAACATATGAGTACCAAAACATTTGCAACTGCAACAATTTTCTGAGAGAAGGGTTGTCTTTTCTGACAGAATTGCAAGGGTGCCAATATTTTTGACCATGACTATATAATTTTGTAGAGAAGGACAGGCTCCTTTTCCAAAATTTCCTGAACTTCTCTAAAACCAGGTTAATGGGACCCGAAGACAGATGAAGCTAAACCTCTGAGTAAGCAAGACAGTCAAAACAACTCCATTTTGCACTTTGATGTTTTTAATAAAGACACAGGAAGAAAAGAGGGTCATATATTCTTGCCCAACTTGTGCTGCATGAGGAACTACAAAATTACTCATCTTCTCCACCCTAAGTAGGTGAGGTATTTTGTTGCACTCTTGACTATCTAATAGAATAACAAATACATGTTTGTTTGTCACAGAAATGAAACAAAACTGGCAAAGTAACACTTTATTACAAAGAGAACTGTTTGTGCAAAATGAAATTATTTTCCTTTTGTTGCATGGATTTTTAAGGTTTCAGTTCATCAGGATGGAAGTATCAGCTCTCTGTGACTCTTTTAGCAGTTAGCCAATGTTTAGTGCTTGAGGGAAAGGATACTGGTTTTGTGCAAATAGTTTGTGCAAATTATGGAGACTTTGATAACAAACAAAAAAACCACTCCTTGTTCCACTCTCCCTTGGAAGCAAAGAATCTCAAGGGGCAAGAAAACCCCTTGTTGCAGTATCTCATTAGGTTGAGACAGACTATGTCAGTAAAAACACTACATTTCTAGCATGAAAACATCAAGAAATACTTGGGTTAATATGAGATGAACAAACAACCTATTAGCAGTGAATAACTCTCCACACAGCTTTCAGAGACAAGATTTCCCCAACCCTCATTGGCATAATTTAAGACTGGCTGTTCCTTCTTCCTATCCATATAAGAAGCAAAAAAGGCTTTTTTGTTGGTGTCAGTGTTCTTCTCTTGAAACCAGGCAGATCCCAGAGGACCAAATTTAAACTGACTAATTGACAGTCTTGGAGGACATAGACCTGAGTCCTCCAATGTTTTCACAGGTGTCTATTTAACATAGGGCTAAAGCTGGAAGAGATTTTGTTTCCCTTGGGGTGGAAAGAATGCTCACTAAATGTCCCATTCTTTTTGATTTAGGCTGTCATTGACATGAAAAGAAATACTGAGGAGAAATTATAAAGCTCTGTGAAATTCCTCACCTCCTGCCAACTATGACACAAAAAGCTCTCCCCTGAAAAGGTCTCTGTAACTTGCACAAATTGTTTGGTGTCTTTTCCCTTTGAAGAGCATAGCATGCATACACACACACATTGTAAAGCACAGAAGGATGGTTAGACAGTTAAGAAAAAAAGCAAACAAACCATCTAGGTAAAGGTAAAGGTTCCCCTTGACAATTTTTTGTCCAGTCGTGTTCGACTCTAGGGGGCGGTGCTCATCCCTGTTTCCAAGCCATAGAGCCAGCGTTTGTCCAAAGACAATCTTCCATGGTCACATGGCCAGTGCGACTTAGACACAGAATGCTGTTACCTTCCCACCGAAGTGGTCCCTATTTATCTACTTGCATTTGCATGCTTTCAAACCGCTAGGTTGGCCGGAGCTGGGACAAGCGACGGGAGCTCACTCCGTCACGTGGATTCGATCTTACGACTGCTTGGTCTTCTGACCCTGCAGCACAGGCTTCTGCGGTTTAGCCCGCAGCGCCACCATGTCCCTGCAAAAACAAACCATCTAGTCCTTCCAATTCTTAAACAAAGCAGCAGTCATCCTAGGTTAGGGCAGTTGCACAAGCTACAAATTTTTTCAAAAATCCAAGATTCAAGAACTCTGTGGAAGGCACCAGGAAAATCTCTGTCATGTTCACCAGCAAAGAGAAGAATGTTGAATATCCTTGCTCTTGTGTGAGAGGCTGAAACAAATCAGGGTTTACATCCCTTCCTATACGAATCCATTTGTGAAAGGGGGAATGTTTTGAACTATCTCAAAATCCTTTTGAGTTCAGTGAAAATTGCTTAAGAGCAAGTGTATCTAGAATTGCAAGTATTAGGTTGGTAGTCAATCTCATCTCAGCTTGACTTACTTCTGAGTAAACATGCATAGGATTGCACTGTTACTCTTACACTTTAGTATTTATGCAGTATTTTAAAAGCTTTTTTGGCAGAGATTCTATTGACTGCTTCCAGTTATGTTGCAATCTCTAGTGTCTTCTGAAAGTTTTGATAACTGAGAAGTGAGGCTAGTATCACTTTCATTACAAGTTAATAAGGATATTTCACCACAAGTAATAGCACGAAAATAATGGATGACATTTTCCTGTTTGCAAAAATATAAGAAGAATTGAAACAAGGGTCAACAAGAAAAACAGGAAGACAATGAATTTAAATAGAAGTGAGGTAAGTATGACCTTAAACAGCTAGGCTTCGTAGTACCAAATAGCACTGAGATCATATAAAATTCTAATAGATGTGTTATTATATTAGATGACAGACAGAATGCCCTAGAATATAATTCTTAGTAAATTTAAGAAACTGATTTTTGGCTTCAGATCCTGTAAAACAGTAGACAAATCTTGAGAGAAGTTGGGGTCTGCTCAGTAATTGTAATTCAGATGTCCTAAGTGTCATCTTTATAAATTTTTGTTAATCGTTAAATAGTGTCCAACTCTTCGTGACTCCATGGACCAGAGCACGCCAGGCCTTCCTGTCTTCCACTGCCTCCCGGAGTTGGGTCAAATTCATGTTGGTAACTTCGATGACACTGTCCAACCATCTCGTCCTCTGTTGTCCCCTTCTCCTCTTGCCTTCACACTTTCTCAACTTCAGGGTCTTTTCCAGGGAGTCTTCTCTTCTCATGAAATTGAGAAATTATTGGAGCCTCAGCTTCAGGATCTGTCCTTCCAGTGAGCACTCAGAGTTATTTCCTTCAAACTGAATAGGTTTGTTCTCTTTGCAGTCCAGGGGACTCTCAAGAGTCTCCT